ATACTATATAGACAAGTATGGGATCCTTTATTGACAGGTGAGATCATTTATAGATAGGTGTGATCCTTTATAGATAGGTGTGATCCTTTATAGACAGGTGTGATCCTTTATAGACGGGTGTGATCCTTTATAGACGTGTGTGATCCTTTATAGACAGGTATGATCCTTTATAGACAGGTGTGATCCTTTATAGACAGGTGTGGTCCTATATAGACAGGTGTGATCCTTTATAGACAGGTGTGATCCTTTATAGACAGGTGTGATCCTTTATAGACAGGTGTGGTCCTATATAGACATATATTGTTTATGTATTTTTAAAAAAAGGTGTGAAGACAGATAAATATTCTTGTATTTCAAAAAATATTCTTTTGAAGGTTTATGAATCCCAACGAAATCTAGTGATAGTGATTCTACTACCATTTGATTTAGCTGTAGGGATTATATTTATTTATTAAACAAAGCAATGCCAATTGAAGGCAGTATATTTGCCATGCTGTGATCGGAATGTGAGATTGTCAGTCGCTGTCCACTGACTGTATCAATATTTAATGTGTGATATATGTGGAGGTCTGTAATAGCCACTGTATTGATTTCCGTTTGGGAAAATACTGGAAATGATTGAAATCAACAAAACATATTTATGACCCAGTGCGTAGTAATTGTTTATCCTGATGCCCATGCACAGGTCTCAACTTCCGACAGAAGCTGTTTGGGTAAAGTTGAGAGCATAATTCTCTCAAGAAGAAAGGGGGGAACATAAAATATTTGCGATAACGCTATTGAATTATATAGGCGAGCCTTTGATGAAAGATTAACTGCTCCAGGTAGGTGACTCAGAATCCCGTCTCCAATCATGGGAAGTACAATAAATGATTAATTTTGTCTCAAATCCGTGACATAATTCACATTCCATTATATGTTTTGAGTAAAATCATGGGTGTGTATTCACGACAGGAACTGCATATTTCTCCACCCAGGTGTAATTAAGTAGTAATCAGCATAAGCTAATACATAGGTACGTAATGTAGATATACAGGGGATATCATTGTAAGTTCTACGGTATATTTAGGTACATGTTGTAGATATAAAGGGGGTATCACTGTAAGTTCTACGGTATATTTCGGTATGTGTTGTAGATATACAGGGGGTATCACTGTAAGTTCTACGGTAGTGTTGTAGATATACAGGGGATATCACTGTAAGTTCTACGGTATATTTCGGTATGTGTTGTAGATATACAGGGGGTATCACTGTAAGTTCTACGGTGTATTTAGGTACGTGTTGTAGATATACAGGGGATATCACTGTAAGTTCTACGGTATATTTCACAGGTGTACTAATAGGAGACGCCTTTACAAGGTGGCTACTATTTAGATTTACTGTACACACTTTTAGTATTATGCTAGTGGAATATTAATAATATAATAATATTTATTCCCTTTGATCTGACCAGAATATTCTATCACAATATCTGTGATTTTATCTGCAAATTTTGTCAAGAATATAGATCCCTGCCTCACTTTGTCACCATGGATACTGACATTGCAAATCTCCTTTATTTAGTGCTTGCTAGTCAGTAAGATTGGATCAGGTGAGATTACGGTATAACATATATAGACTGGCACTGGGATACACGATCAGTACACTGTAGATAAGTGTATCATTAGCCATGTAAACTGTATATGTGCATCATGTAAATTGCTTTTCTATTATTCTGCCTTTTTATTGGTTTTTACATGTCAGAGAAATGTTTCTCTGTTGATAAACATGAGAATGTACCACCAGATCCAAGTAATCAGCATAAATCAAGGCTAGGGGAACAACGTGAGTTGATTACAATGTTACTATGGCAACAGATCAGAAGTAATTGCTACAGAATTTATAAGGGAGAGAATCACTTGTTGCTTTATGGTGCTGACTTGAAGTGATTCCTGGACTTTACTCTAAGATACAAAATCTTAACATTTTGGAAAAAGTTCTCCTAATCCTTCTTGAAAATTTCAAATCAAAATATTGCAGTAATTTAGACTATAAGATGGTAACTGTTATCTGTGAAAGATTACATGTAATCTTGGCCTTGCAGATTGCTAGGAGACAAAAAGGCTTATCATGACCTGTTCTTTTGTTGTATGTTGACAGATGGCAGCACTGTGCCCGGTGTCCAGGAGGAGATAACTTGTAAAGGGGACAGAACAGAAAACATCTCTCATTGCTTGACCTTCCTACAGTCACAGGGCGTGGACTTGGCTGGGATTGATGCTGATGGTACGGTGCTAATATACAGCAGTCACAAGTCAGACTTGTATGGTGCTGTCTGTTCTTCCTTCCTCACTGACTTCTGTTCAGGGGAATTTCTTGTGTTACGGACACTCACTGTGATTCAGACTGAAGGATGTTATACAATGAGCCTCCGAATTCCTGATAATAGATACATGTATAATAGAAGTTATAAATACTACAAAAATGTGAGCTTGTATACCAGTAGTTGGGAAGATCAGTAGATGTGAGCTTGTATACCAGAAGTTGGGAAGATCTGTAGATGTGAGCTTGTATACCAGTAGTTGGGAAGATCTGTAGATGTGAGCTTGTATACCGGTAGTTTGGAAGATCTGTAGATGTGAGCTTGTATACCAGTAGTTGGAAAGATTAGTAGATGTGAGCTTGTATACCAGTAGTTGGGAAGATCTGTAGATGTTAGCTTGTATACCAGTAGTTGGGAAGATCTGTAGATTTGAGCTTGTATACCAGTAGTTGGGAAGATCTGTAGATATGAGCTTGTATACCAGTAGTTGGGAAGATCTGTAGATGTGAGCTTGTATACCAGTAGTTGAGAAGATCATTAGATGTGAGCTTGTTTACCAGTAGTTGGGAAGATCTGTAGATGTGAGCTTGTATACCAGTAGTTAGGAAGATCTGTAGATATGAGCTTGTATACCAGTAGTTGGGAAGATCTGTAGATGTGAGCTTGTATACCAGTAGTTGGGAAGACTACAGGTATACAAGCTTAGATGTGAGCTTGTATACCGGTAGTTGGGAAGATCTGTAGATGTGAGCTTGTATACCAGTAGTTGAGTGAACATCTATGATGGTAAATTATTCCTTCTCTAATATCCTTCCAGATTTAGCTGATGGAAATTTAAAATCTGCTTTGCTGCTGGTTGGAAACATACGAAGCCATTTGGATGTAAGTAAAAGGTGGTAGATAATCGTCATCTGGATATACGATATCTGTGTTTTTTATCAACATCATATCAAATTTTAAGTTGAAATCTATATAAAAGTCTGCATTCTTAATTGATTCAAGATATTATTACAAATTTTATGCTGGATTTGTTTACCCCTACTTCAACTAAGTTGGGGGTATATCGTATTTGCTTTGTTCATGTGGGTATGTCTGTCCATTTTGATGATGATTTCCGGAGCATTTCTCAGCCGTTGTTTCATGAATGGGAATCAAACTTTGTGTATAGGTACATCACAGGAAGGCAGAGTGTCACATCCTGAAATGAGGTCACTGTGACTTCAATTTGACCTTTGATCTTGACCTCCCTCACCCACTAAAATAATGTTTTCCTGAGCATATCTCAGATACTGTTTCATGATTGGGCATCAGACTTCGTATATAGTGACATCATTGGAAGGTGGTGTGTCACATCCTAAAATGATATCACTGTGACTTGGCTCAATTTGACTTAAGACCTCTACCACAATTTCTAAATTAAGTATAATTAAGGTTGTCTTAACCACTGTTTCATAAAACAGCTCCGATAATTGTAGATTTGCGGAGAGGAGGTGTTAGTTTTGAAGCCCATGCTGCCATTTAAATATAGTTTTTAATATCAAAGATCCTCCCATTGGTTCTAATATCATCAAAGTTCTTATTTGACTGACTGTATATCTGTGAAGTCCATTTGACCGTGTGAGATATGGTGTTACAGCTGAAGAAAGGTGAGAGCCAGGCTACCATTCAACATGTACCAGACCAAACCCCAACAGACAAAAGAGGGGTAGCCATGCCTGGCACTGTCACCCACAACCCAGGGGCTCACGGTTTGAGTAACGGCACTACAGGTACCAACCTTGTCATTTTCAGGGACCACATTTAATATCATTAAGTACCTGGCATTATCTCTGTCCACACCTACAGATTCCCAGATATTACCACTTAAAGGTACCTAGATATTACCACCCAAAGATACCTAGATATTACCACCCAAAGGTACCTAGATTTTACCACCGAAAGGTACCTAGATATTACCACCCAAAGGTACCTAGATATTACCACCCAAAGGTACCCAGGTATTATCTCACAGTACCCAGAATTAAAGGTTCTACATTCATCAGATGAAATGAAAACGGAAGCACTTTTTAAAATTTTAGTTGTAACTCAAATCTTTTCTACAGACGATTGAAATAACATGCAAACCTATAAACGTGATATACCTGCCTTGGCAGTATAGAGAATGGATTGTCGGTAATGTCTAGCTGTAGGAATACCTGTATAATTGGGGGTAAATCAATAACTGTAGGCTGGTGTCAGTTACATATAATTGGCCACTAGTAATTAACCTGTAGGTGTTTAGAGCTGTACGAGGTGAAAGTCACATAGGTCTAATGAGTTTTAAAGTTCTATTATAGCTACATGAATCTACAATGTTATTGTCATTTTTAGGTATATGTCATTCAATTCCATTTTTAAACCATTTTAAATTGAAAAGATTTAGATGTGCTTCATTACATGTCATCAAAGCAACAAACATTCCATGGACATGTTTCTTCAAACATAACAAATGAGGCCATCAAGTGCTGATCATGATCAGATATTTAACCAAAGGTCAAGGACATATATTCCAAAATGAACCGAGTTACAAGGTGATTGAAGGCTCGGGTTATGTTAGAGATCACTGGTAACCACCACTAATTATAGGTAAGTATTGTTATGGAAGAATTATGGTGTATTTTGTTTTGATCTGTTTTAGTGCGGAGGACATTCATTACCTCAGCAGAGGACTTGTTACCTGGCTCTCTGTCTACCAACAATGAACGCCAGGGAATGCACGAAACCATCATTGTAAGTCGAAGCCACCTTGTTGGTAGGAAATAAAGTCACATTGATCCAAATTTTGAATGATAAATTCACAGCGGCCCAAATTTTAAAGAATAAAGTCACAGTGACCTAAATTATAAAGAATAAAGTCACAGTGACCTAAATTATAAAGAATAAATTCAAAGTTACCTAAATTATAAAGACCAAAGTCACAGTAATCTTGTTTGAGTGAAAACTAGCAATGTGTATTAAAGCATACACTATTATCCGAGATATTTAGAGCAATAGAGGCTGGGGTAATCAGTAATGATCAGACTAAAGTCATTAACTGTATACATAAATCTTACAGATTGTTCAATTCTTTGGCAGTGTTATCATGTTATAATTCAAACATGTTAAGATAATTTGATTATATAAATCACTATATTGTCATATAATACCACTGACACATACACTACTGGAGGAAGATTCTCTGATATAAGTAATTAAACCTTGGACTATTTTATTATCTGTCATATTAGTACGGAAGGAATGATATGTGTCACTTACAGATATGAAACTAGAGATTCAAACAAACTGAAATATTATAGTAGCCTTTTTATGTAGATAATTTCATGTGGTGCCAGTTTGGTTTTGCACTTTACAACAGTGCTACCAATAATTGATAATTGAGCAAGTACAGGTATGATAGACATGAGACCTGTCTGGGACAGGTATGTTAGACACGAGACCTGTCTGGGACAGGTATGTTAGACACGAGACCGGTCTGGGACAGGTATGTTATACACGAAACCTGTCTGGGACAGGATGATAGGAGACCTGTCTACAGAAGCTAGGACAATTTACCTGTACCTACTACCATCACTACAGACAGGTGCGAGTTCTTACTGATATGTATTATACATATATCTGGCTGGACCTCCACATCTATTTATTAGCAGATTCTTCTGTATAAGTTTTAGGACTGTTGAATTACGCGTAAAGATTGTAACTCTTTGTTGTTATGGTTTCAGTCGATGACAGAGCTGGGATCTAATGGTGTGTCCCAGCACGGTGTGGACGGTCGACAGGACCATAGTTCCAACAACAATAACAATATACGTCGATCCCGCCCCCTCAGCGCAGGGGCCAAACCCCCCGGGACTCCCACCCCTAAACCCAACACCCAGCCTGTCCCAGGGACAGTCTCTAATGCATGGACTACTGAAGGTCAAAAATCAAAGGTCAGTATACAGTGGGGTCAAGTCATCTGGAGGTCAAGATCCCTAGGAGTTGATTCCTGGTTACTGACTTAGTACTGGCAAATTGTTAGCTGTATTTAAACTATGGTAACTACTTCTTACCGGTAAGGGCTCTGAAGTTACATTATTCAGAATGTCCACGTATCACTTTGAGGTATTTGCCTTTTGTTAATACGACAGAGACTCTGTCTTGTTTGTATATTTGTTTACTAAATTCTATTTTAACTCTAATCATATGACTTCATTTATGTGAATGTTATTAATGTTTATCCATGTGTTAATTTTATAATCAACTGATGTGCTTGTTTTTGTCAAGAATGAGTGTTCATTTGCATGGTTGTACACAATCACCATACCATATCATTTCCTGTGCTGAAACCGTTTAATAGCATATCTACATCTGAATCAGTAATATATATTGAGTATATGGTTCATCGAATATGCTCGCTTGTAATATATCATTATGTTCAATCCTTTGATCCCAGCTAAACCCTCCCTATCCCTTCCAAACCCACAACCCACCACACCCTACCCACACCACATCCTGTGAAATTACTGTACACTTCCTGATTTTAGTGTACTGACATTTTAGCGCATTTCGAATTTAGAACAGACCAGTGGATTTGAATAGAAAACAGCATACAGAAATGTTGAATAGTGCAATAATAATTTAGTGCAATAATTTAAACATAAAAACTCAATTAAGACTACTCCTAAAATATGTGTAACTTACAGTACATCATTATATTGTACAAGGTTTTGATGCAATGCAATCTAAAAATCACTGAATTCTAGGTAATTTTTCAAAAAATACAATTTTGCAAATAATCTGGATACTCTAGTGTAACCCACATTTAGCCTGAGTACAAAGAGGTCAGAGAGAAATGACTTCATCAGTTCTGGCCACTTCTACAGTGAAATAGAGACAAAAAGTAAGAGAAAAGAAAGTATAAAATATCATGCGATAATCACTTTATCGACTCATTGTGTTGTCTGGCCAAATGATCCATTCCCTTAATACAAGAGATGATAGGATCTACTGTCCATACAATGACATACCTCAACAATCACCTAACATCCTCTTTTTCATATAACTTAACCTCCCCATGCCATCACTCCCCCCCCCCTCTCCCATTCAATCCACACCACCTCACACCCCAACCCACCCTGACACTTACACCACTTCATCCACACCATCACTCACCAAATTTAATCCATTCCACCTCTATCCCCACCCCCTCTAACTAGCTTTATGTGGACAATCCTTGTGGTCCAATAAGTATGTAAGTCACAAAAAGTTTTGTTGACCACTGTTTTGTGTCCACTTTAGGGTGTTGACCGCTCATCACTATCTGTGGAAGACAGATTAAAGTCACTAATAGGCTCACCATCAACCAACAACTCCACACGTGATCTCCACCATGTAAGTCTGTCACAGGGCACCTCAGCCTGGTGGTGTGAACCTTAACCTTTAACCTTTATGTTACACAGGGCACTGGATATATCCTAGTGTCGTGAACTTTAACCTTTATATTACACAGGGGACAGTATGTAGCGTTTTGGTGTGAACCTTAACCTTTAACCTTATATTTGACCATCAGACTTAGCTGGCAAGCCAATAAGATTAAGATCTTAAGCATGAGCATTATACGAATTTTATATTTAAGGTCATTCTCAGAAAGTTTATTAAGTATTTTACCAATTACACCAAGAAGCAAGCAGAACTTTTGCCTTCAAAGTTTCAAATGACTGACATTGAAATGTCACTTAGAATCACTAGGATTGCAAATGAAGAGACTGTAAAAGCACAAAATTATTTTATAGTTATTGTAGCAATGTGTCTACATATGCAAGACCACACAATTGTGTTTTTCTAACGAATCAGTAAGCACGAGTTTAATGCGGGGACAAATATATACGTCCGCGCAATAAATGAGTGCTTTCTGATTCGTTAGAAAAACACAAGTGTGTAGTCTTGCTTTTATCACATACCTTCCGTATTTGGTAGAGATAGATACAAAGATTTTTAAAACTTTGATATTTTTTGCAAATACTGTACCGAGAACTTTCAGTTTGCCATGACAAGGGGATTCCCATAAAATGTAGTTCCAGCTAGTAGGTAAATACATTATTCCGTATTGCACATGTGCAATACAGAACGTTGTATTTCATGGTCTGAAAATTGCTGGTATTACTATAACAAGATTCAACAGGTATGTGATAAATATTTAAACTACCTGGTATTCACATGAACAACTTCAAATGTGAAGGTCATATACTTGTGTTTTGAACACCTGGCCTTGACCTCTGCATTGATGTTTACTATATGATAAAGATGATAGTCTGCTGTGTTTGTATAACAGACAGCCCCATCTATCCCGCGTCTGCACCGTCGAGTGGCCCCAATCTCTGTCCACTGCGTGAGTGAACATCGCCACCGCTAGCCATGTTTTGTTATTTTTGCATGAGTTTGTAGTGGTATTGCTGAAATACATTGCTCCCTTTAGTTGTTCTTCATGTTAACTTTTGAAAGGATTCTAGATCAACTGGTCACAAAGATCAATTGATCATGAAGCAGGAAATGTTTACATTGATAACATAGTAGAATGCTACTAAAGCAGTTTGGGGAAAGATAGATACTGATGACAAGGGGACTTAACTCTTGGTAGTCTTACCTTTACTATCAGATGATTTACTGGTAGTTGCAAGACATATGATTTCTGAGAGTGTATAAGATGATTAGATTTTATTTTCTAGGAGAACATGTAATTGTATAATATCTGTATAACTTATCCTTGAAAGTATTGTCCTGTCCACAAGTAGAACTGTAGTGACCACAATGTGTATCGAGTAGCTGTAATGTGAGATACTACCCTGGTAACGAAAACACTAATTACTAAATCTTATCATTGTTCATCATAGTAAAATCAAAATCGGATATTTGATTTTATCAAATTTATATATTTCATACAAAACTTTGCAAATCCGTGTATAGATGTGCTAGTCTAGATAAAGAAGATACTATAACTATAAGAATTTGATTGTGCTAGTCTAGATAAAGTTTGACCTTGCCTATATACCTATACCTGTTTCATATATCTGCTTGATCTTTTGTCAAAGGCTGAGACATGTGATGCTATGATGTATTGCTTTACAAATTCTAATTCAAAATCTTTAACATGAGAGTAGAAGTTATTTTGATCTATAAACATATACTTCCATAAAAACTGTATGATATAAAATAAATAACTGCATATATATCTTGCAATATTCCCATGAGGCCAACACATCATCTGTCATTCAAAGTAGAGGGATGGGCTTATAACAGGAACATGGAACAGATTTTGGTTGTGATAATGCTGGATGAATCCTGTATTACTTTGTATGAATGAGGTGAGGTGTACATTTGAATCTGTAATTTACTAAGATTAGAACAAACATATACCCACAATTTGTCATTAACCTCAACAGGCATCCAAGTCATTTGATGATGGAGAGCTGCTCCTTCCCCCACCCCCACAGCCCAAGAGTAAGATGGGTGTGACAGTACAGGGGGGTGGGGGCTACAGCCGTTACCCCGGGGAAGGCCATTACAACAACTCGTATGTGGTAAGTACTGACAGATCAATTATGATATTTGGTACCTACTGGATAGCCCATCATGTCAGTAAGGTTGTACAGACCTACTGAATAGCCCATCATGTCAGTAAGGCTGTACAGACCTACTGGATAGCCCATCATGTCAGTAAGGTTGTACAGACCTACTGGATAGCCCATCATG